ACACCCGGCCAGTGTAGACAGCTGGCTAGTTTTTCCGGAAAAGCGGCTGATTTTCCGGAAAAACTTGCCAGTCTAGACACAGCCAGTCTGTGCTCAAAATAGGGGTAAACAGAGTGAAATTTAAGGGCCTGTAATCCACAGATCATATTAGATGTTCTATGTTCATGTTTGGCCTTAAACTCTGTGACTCTATGAACAGTGTGTTAAGTTGCCTTGCCATAAAATGGTGGTTCACACAAACTGGAAGCTAAAGCAAACCACGTAACTGTGGCTCTTTGATAAAGATCCTATGTGTGCCAAATTCAAAACTAATGGTGACTAAACCATTAGATTCCTGAACAAGGCTAATGAGTTGGTTTAGTAGTGAATCTGTGGCTCCATTTTAACTCAAAGTATTTGTCTGCCAATTAACTTAAACTGTCTCACTTGTAAGTGCTAGTCTAGATTTCCACGTTTATTTCGGCAAACATGCCCCTTAGGTTAGGTCAAAATCCCTATAACAAGATGGAAAGTGGCGAAAAAATCAAAGGGGAGGGCAAAGTTGGCGTTCTTGGCAGATCAGAGGTAGGGGGATGCAACAAACAAACAAGGTCCATGGTAGAGCCATGCAGGATGCTGAAGGATACTATCTAGGGTCAGACCCTCTCTTGGTGTATATAGGCCCAGCTCCATTGAAATAGTTTGTATCAAAAGCAGATCACCAAAAGCAGGGATGGGCAAAGGGCTCTCTGTGGGACGGATGTGGCCCACCATGCCAGAGGATCTGCTGCCTTGCTGCTCCTGAACCCCTAGGCCAATCAGGGGTGCCTGTGAAATCTCCTTGCTCCCGCAAGAGTGCTCAGTGGCTAGAGAGACACTCTGGCTGTTTGAAAACAGCTACATTTATCTCTAGCTGCCAAACGCTTTTGGGGGGGAGGAGGGAAGCTTTTTGCACTCACCACCCCTAAGCCAATCAGGGCCTGCGCACAAAGTCTCTTGCATCCTGTCCCCGTCCTGCCAGGGGTGTGCAGAGGTTAGAGAGACATGCTGGCGGTTTTAAAACTGCCAGTGTGTCTCTTTAGCCACCGAGCATTCTTGTGTGTGGGGGGGAGGGAGGACGAGAGGAATTTACACACTCTCTCACTCCCAGGCTGATTGCCCTGGGGGTGGGAGAGTGGCAGGGGGCCAGATTCACCAGCTTAGCAGGCTGGATCTAGCCTACAGAGGACCTTTTGCCCACCCCTGGGCTAGAGAGACAGGCCTGATTAGCCTGGGGTAGGGAGAGCAAGTGAGATCTCCTTCCACCAGCCACCTAGATGAAACCGCCAGCTTTTTAAACAACAGCTGAAGTTTCTCTCTAGGGGGTTGGGTGGGAGTGGGAGGGGGAAGACTTCTCATGCTCCCCCAGACCAATCAAAAGTCTCCTGGCCCCACCCCTTCCACCCAAGGCTCCATCTCTTCTGAGGTGGCCTGGGGTCACTTCAGAAATTTCTGATGTGGTCCCCTTTTAAAAATTATTGCCTACCCCTGACCGAAAGCATTTGTGTGCTGGTCAGGGCCTGGGAGCAGGGAGCACACAAAGTCTCTCATGCCCTTTCCCCGCCCTGCCAGGGGCACGCAGCGGCAAGAGACACACGCCGGCTGTTTTAAGCCGGCGCGTCTCTCTACCTGTCGCACGCTCTTGCGGGGGCGAGGAGACTTTGCGCATTCCCCTGTCCCCAGGCCCTGATTGGCTTGGGGCCCACAGAGCACGTGAGGTCTCCTTCCACCAGGCACCTAGACGAAACCGCCAGCTTTTTAAACAACAGCTGAAGTTTCTCTCTAGGGGGTTGAATGGGGGTGGGAGGGGGAAGACTTCTCATGCTCCCCCAGACCAATCAGAAGTCTCCTGGCCCCACTCCTTCCACCTGAGGCTCCGCCTTTTCTGAGGTGGCCTGGGGTCACTTCAGAAATTTCTGATGTGGTCCCCTTTTAAAAATTATTGCCTACCCCTGACCGAAAGCATTTGTGTGCTGGAATAAATATGGGTATGTCTACACTACAGCGCTAATTCGAACTAACTTAGTTAAAATTAGTTAATTCGAACTAATCTAATTTGAACTAACGCGTCTAGAACTAAAAACTAGTTCGAATTAGCATTTTGCTAATTCGAACTAGCATGTCCACATTAAGTGGACCCTGAACCG